GAAGATTTCATAATTTTGAGACGAAATTTCATTTCGTTTCAATATCATAAATATGAGATCTTACAACGCTTTTTGCCTCCTCAAAGAATGAGAGGTCAGGAAAATCACTAGACCTTAGCAAAGGTCCTTTTCTTAGATCATTAGGCACCTAATTTAATTGCACGTAGAATTCAGGGGTCCACCTTCCTGATACCTGAAGCTCATTAATTTTGTAAAGAATTGGATTACTCGACGAGGTCACCCTTTTGGGGTATTGTTATAGCTATGGGGTCTTACGAGTTGTAAATTCATGGTGTATTACTGATTGGTGTTAAAAACCATCGTCTAATTATGATACGGTTGTAAAATAAGTACAACAATAAAATGAGTATAAGTTTATGCTTGAGGTCTTTATTATTACTTTTTCTAAGATTTATAAGGTATTTTCGTAGATAGTACTTTTGCTCATCAATTTCAGTTGTGATTTCTAGGTCGAACAATAGTCTGAACTCATATTATTTAGATTGCTTTCTACAAATACTTGATATTTTAAGATTGATCATCATAATATCAGCCATAGGACATCCACTGCTGAACATAGGCCTCCCTCAATGACTTTCAGATAGGCCGGTTGGAAGCGACCTGCACCCAGCGGCTTCTTGCGATCTTGATCAGGTCGCCTGTCCACCTTGTGGGTGGACGCCTTGCGTGGCCTCTACTCGAGGTCCTTTCTGCGCTTTCGGCCATCGGTTGTCCGTGCTCTGTGCCCTGCCCACTGCCCCTTAAACTTGCTAATCCGCTGGGATATGTCAGCGACCTTTGTTCGTTTGCGGATTTCCCGATAAGAAGATACAAATATAATATGCATATAAATAATAAACTCTCATATTTATTGACGACATAGTTAATTTATTCCACCTTCCTTTATATTAAAGATCAGTAATGAAACACTTAATTAAATCGAAAAATTATTTATGAGTTTTAATTAAGGCGATGAAACTGTAAGGAAAATCATACAATTACATTATAATTGCGAAACATTTTATTATTATTGTTTAAACAATGTTCCTGAAGGATAAAAGAGAATATGTAGTTTCTTTGTCGGATTTATTAATTAGTTATATTGAGTTAGCTTTACTTGTGTCTGTTTATTTGGTTTGATGGAAAAGTTAGTCAAGAATTAAATAAATATATTTTTTTATGGCAAAAGCCGGTAAACGAACAGACTGATCACCTGATGGTAAGCAATCGGCGTCGCCCATGGACACCTGGAATACCAAAGGCGTTACAAGTGCGTTACCTGCCTTTTGGGGATTAGGAATTTGAGAATCGTTGGGGATTCAGGGATTGGGGAGATTGGGGTAGGGGAGGGGGGTAATTGGGCCTCCGGTAAACTCACTCACGCGACGAAACACAACGCAAGCGTTGCTTCACGTCGGTCTTCAGCTGGGTCGTGGTATCACTCCTGTCGAGCCGGCATAAAAGTAACCTACGCCAGTCCCATCTAATATAAAAAAAAGTATTATCCTAGACCATACTCTATCCCTGTTTTAAATTTCATCTCGATCTCTTGAGCCCTTTACACGTAAACGTGTAACAAATTCACAAACATATATCCTCACAAACTTTCACATTTAATATATTAGTAGGATTGGGAATCAAGGAGTATGATTGTAACCTAAAGCTTGTACTAGCGTTAAACAGTATAGAAAATATTTCTTTCCTTTTCTTACGTATGTACTTCGATATTCGTATTTCGATAACTTCTTACACATTGACCTTCATAAACGTCTTTGATGGACTTAATGTTAACAAAATGAGGTTAAAAGGAAATAAGTATTCTCATGTTTGCCATACAATAAGCTCGTGATTATACGCATCACATGTCAGTCAACATGACAAAAGGGTTCAGAACTAACGCCTTACTTTTATGCCCCTTTTCTCAACACATAAATGCTTACTACCATTTTTCGCACGAACTTCACCCTTATGTACATACATCGAGATGTATTCATATGGCAAAACTACGCATTGACGACCAGAAAACACTGAACTCTATTACAATACACCAAAGTTCGCTACACAGCTCAAGTTAAGCTGGACGTCAAAGCTTTCAGGGAAAGGTAGAGACGACCCATTTTTCTCGGTCGTTTTAGGGCCGCCCCTAAAGATTAGTAATACTAGGACGGTCCTTAGAAATATATTCATATGGATACGAGGATATGAATGTCGAGATCGGTTTTGTTCGGATATTTGGTTCAATAAAATGCTTATTTATAGAAATGCGATTACTTTTGTAGAATTCCCTAGTAACAATGATGGTTTTGTTTTCGTAAGATGACTTTCAGATTCTGTTCTTTTGTTATCGCATTCGATATTTAAAAGGAATTTGCTATTGAATGGGATGGCGACGAATTAATTAAGCTGATTTGATAGGAGGACAATAACGCCGATTGTCCCAAATGAAATTGGATTGGAAAACAACAGTGTTTAAATTTATGTGGGTGTTGGAACATTTTGTGATAATATGAAGTCTGAAATACTGAGATTCTTTAAGATGCTTTATTATTTTAACCGTATGTCGGTGTTGTAATGAAAATAGTAGAAAATTTGGCCCTTTGCTACTTAAAAAATGAGTATCTATAAGTCTTAGTATTATTGTTATTTCTTATTGTTAATACTTAAGTTAGCTAGCAAACTATTATAATCAAATAAAATGACATGACCTATATAGGACATCTCATTTTATTGGATTTTACCTATAAAGGTAATACTAGAAGAATA